AAATGAACATCAAATGGTACGCTAAAAGATCTAACATATACGCTAAACGAACCCCAGATGGTACGCCAAACAGTACGCTAAAAGATCTAAGATTTATGCTAAATGAATGCCAAACAGTATGCTAAAATATCTAAGATGTATGCTAAATGCTAATAATGCAAAACAATACGGCATAACAACAGCAGCCTGCACATGAGTTCTTGGTGAGCAGATGTGTATGAATGAAATAATCAGCAGCATTCGATCAGCAGCATAGATAATCAGCATCACAGATAAGTCACATGTCACTATTAAAGTGGCATTACAGTGATTTTTCTTTTTTTTTTTACTCTGTCTGTGATCTTTATGGTACTGGATATCACATTCAAGCAGGTAATCTGTACTTTTTTCTTCTCTCTTTCAAGGGTCCCAAAGGAGATGAAGGACCTGCAGTAAGTTGAAGCTTTTTGTCAAGAACAGTATATTTTTGAAGTGTTCATTCATTTGTGTGTGTGTGTGCTGCTCACACAAAAGAAGTCAGAGCTGCTAGTTGCTTTTCCATCGTTATCTCCCTGGTTTTCCACTGTACAACATAAATCAATAAAGCCTCAAGCCTGAGTACTTAACCACTCTCAGTAGAACCCCAACACAGTAAAAAAAGAAAATACGACTTATTCTCCAACATGTATAAAACCTTTGTACCATATTGTATTGCCAGTGAGAGCCCACAAAATCTCACTTCACTTCAAATGCGCTTCCCACCCCTCTGCCCTTTCACTGAATCAGGAGAACTGTTCACTCACAATCCACACAGACGTGGAAACAACGTGACGTTTCCACCATCAACCTGAATTCTTTATCCTCATGAGACTGATTGCATTTTTTTGTATTGTTTGGTTGCGCCGTGATTTTTCACCAGGATGTTAATTTGACATTTTAATAAAGTGTGTGCCCGGCTGTGCTGTGCTGGAATTGCCCCAATCCGTCTCGCAGCTGATCCTCTGGCTGCCCCACTCTTCTCCCTGTTAGCCACAATAGCTTATTCATGACAATCTACATGTGTGACAATTACCTGGACAATTCATCTATGTCAGCACCGGTTGCTCTCCTGTTCTGGGTAATGGCGTTTCTCCACAGCAGCTTGAGCAAGAAGAGGAAGATAGAGGCCATCACTTGCTCAAGCATGGGGAATTGGGCACTATTTTTAGAACAGAAAGAAAGTCTTCTTGTGAAATGGGGCTTTTTTCCCCCAATGGTTCTATAGTTTCCATGGTTTAACAGAATGTGCCATAAGACAATTGTTGTTTTTACAAGTATAGTCTGATACATATTGATGTGTGATGGCTGAGGGAAGAAGGAAATTTGAGAATTATTGCAAAGCTTACATCATTTCTGTCCGCGTAGCTTTAGTTTATATTTTCATGCATTTACCCGCAGTTTTATAAGAATGTTTAATATATTCCTTCTGCATGAATATGAGATGAAAACAGACCCATTTTTAGTTCTAGAAAACAGCTATTAATTCACATTAGGAGTGATTTCTTCATTTTGACACAACAGGTGGTGTGTTTCTCTCTCGCAGGGGGAGCCAGGACCCATGGGCTTACCCGGGCTTGAAGGGCTACCTGGTGCCAAGGTAGGCAACAGAGAGATTTCTCACCTGCAAGGAGCTGTCCTGACTGCAACAAGAGGAAACTTTCTTATTACAGAACATGTAAAGAGATTCCTTTTACGGGAAGATATCCGTCTTTTGAAAAAAAAAAAAAAAGGGCAAAGCTTGCCACCATGAGAGTTGAACACATTACAGGTTCTAGTTGAAGTTATAAGTCAACTTGAGGCAAACCAAATGTTAACAGAGGAATTCAATTACTTATGTATCTGTTTAAACATTGCCTGAAGGAGTTTCAGGTTGACATTTTCAAACTGGAAACAGAGCAGTTTGGAGCCAAAGCATTAAAGTAATGGCTAACAATCTGCACAGAGGGTTGGTAGCAGTGGATGCATATTTGTTTTAGAGGGAGAACAAATCCAGCTCTGCATGGAGCTCTCCACGCCTGCATATATATGACGAGATGAAGTGTGCGACTGTATCTTGTGTGGAAGTTATGCAGGGATGAATTCATTGTGTTTCTGTGGCATTAAGTAAGTTATCGTGCTGGGAGTTACAACAAAAAGTTAACATATGTGTAGTGTTTGCTGTTGAAAAACAAATTGTGGTAAATCACTGCCCATCTCCAAAAGATGAAGGCAGATAATACTGATATTGATAATCAGGAGTGATTGTAGGTTTGGTATAGTTGCCTTAATAGATAGGTTGATCTCCCATTAGAATATCGTCAGGGGTTTTCAAAGTGTGGGAAAGTTGTGGGAGAGTCTGGGTCTTTGAGCAAGATCCTTAACCTTCCCCCCATCTGCTCCCCCGGGCACCTTAGATGGCAGCACTCTGCTCCACACTGAGTGCTATGGTAGATGGATTGCATCAAGAATCAGGAGGGTCATCCATCATAAAACAATTACCAAGTCTTTATATGAGTTAGCTTACTGTGGCGACCCCAGATGAAGATAGCAGCCTGGAAAAAAAATCCTCTGAGTGGATATTTAACCATTTATCCCACTTTGTATCACTTTGAATCATGGCTGGATGTAACTAGGAATGAGATCATCAGAGGTACAGCACAGGTTGAACAACTGGGAGATAAAGTTAGAGAAGCCAGACTGAGATGGTTTGGACATGACCAGAGGAGGAACAGTGGGTATATTGGTAGAAGGATGTTAGAAATGCAGCTGCCAGGAAAAAGACAAAGAGGAAATATATTGATGCAGTTAGAGAGGACATGCAGGTAGTTAGAGTGAGGGCAGAGGACACAGAGGAGGATGACTTGCTGTGATAATCTCTGAAGAGGAAACAGCCAGAAGCAAAAGAAGAAGTTTAGGCAGTTTCCTGAATCAATATCCACTGTATGTGTTTGCATGACGGGCATCTATAGTATTATTTGTGTAATATGTCTGCTTTTTGTGTTGGTAGGGTGATATTGGTTTGCCTGGACCCCAAGGGATTCCAGGTCTACCAGTAAGTATGCCTTTACGTCATACTGTACTTTTACTTTTTTCCTCTTTATTGTTCAAGTCCACTGTTGGCAACCAGTCAGTGATGTTTTATTAAGTATTGAATTGCAGACTTCAACATAATTCCTCCAGCACTGCACTAGTTCAACTAAGAACTCTGTTGACTTGTGGTCTGAGGAGGATTTATTGTGCACCCACAGTATGCCATGGCTGTGAGCTGTATTATGAATGTGAAGCTGCAGAGGTGCTGATGATGTGACACTATTGAGGACCTGTCAAACAAGGTGTGCTCACTTCTTCTGTGTGCGTGTGATTGACAGGGGAAGCCCGGCACTCGTGGAGAGCCTGGGATCCCAGGAGAGCCGGTGAGCCGGAGCCTCTGACTCCCTTTGAACTGTCAATCCCTGCATCATTCCTTTGTCACCACTGACTGACATCCTTGCTGTCTCTGTTCTCCAACAGGGTGAGAGGGGGCCAATTGGAGAGACAGGATTCCCTGGACGTGAGGGACCCCAAGGTCTTCCTGTAAGGATGCAACCCAATTCACATCCTTCTAATCAGTAATTGTTGCTCTCAAACTATCCTCCAGTAATGTCCATTCATGTATTACAATAGTAGATCCATTCACACGATTCAAGGACAATATAGATGAAATATGCATGCTATCTACCACTTGTGCTATAGATGATTGTATTCCTACATTCCATGTAATTTCCATCAGAGTTACTTTCTGTAATTTCCCCTGTAAGTGCACAATGGACCAGTGTTCGCTCAGTAATCAGGATCATTATCCCTTGGTTGAGATATCTCATTAAGTGTGGAGATTACTAGGAGTGCAACAGTGCTGATCCAATCGAAGGTGGGAGCTGATACAGAATGTCTTTGTTTGTGTTGCGCTCGTCGAGCAGGGCAGGCCTGGGAAAGATGGAACTCCGGGAAATAAGGTGAGTTGTGTGAGCATGTTGCAAATCTTATAGAAAGTGCTTTACATCAGCCAAACTACAGAGAGATGGCACAGCAGATTTTTATCCCCCCCTCCAGCTACAGCGTGCTGACTGCATTAAACCTATTTGCATATGAGAGATTTTAGCGATAGAAACTAAATGGAATTCTTCAGATTTAAGGCTTTGTTGATTTTCAGTCTTTATACCCTAATTATACATCTAATGCTTTCAGACAATGATAAAATGACTGTAATAGAGGGTAGCAGACATTTCAAATTAATTATGCATTGTTTTGCTTGGTGAACTTGGCTAAAGCTGAAATGAAAATTGCAGAAAAGTCTGCTTTTAGGTGGCCTATCAGATTTATTATACGTTATTTAATTCATGAATACACAGAATGGTCTTGCTGGATGCAGAACGGATCTGCTTGAATAACCATTTCCTGCACATTGAGTGATCCTACAACCAAACCTGACTGATTGTGGTTATTATTGTTTTGCTCTGAAATACAAGATGTTTTTCTCCTTACACCTTAATGACAGCCCCAACATTTTATTGTTTGCTCATTCTTATTATTTAATATTTTTCGCCTATAATCTCAGCTTTCTGATGAGGCTCGCTACAAGGAGACTGATGTTTGAATGGAACAACAGTGCCATCTAGTAGGTGGCTATACACATCTACATAGATCCCTTGCTCGCTGCTTTGAGCTTTAATGTAATGCTCATGGAAGCACATTTCAGTGTGCAAGATGATAGATTTAAGCTTCCCATCAGGCAGTGGGGAATACAGCATGCTGCAGATTAAGGCAGGCAAGGGAGAATGGCATTACAAAGCGATGGCCGCTTTAAAGCCACATCAAGCCAGATTGTCTTTTGCATGGTTCTTGTAATCCAGTGGGAAAATGATACAAAGATGCTCCCAGAGATAATGCTGCAAGGGAAGAAAAAGGGAAAGCAATGAAGAGTGACAGGGAGGGACAGGAAGACACAAGATGTTGTGACATGAAGCCAGGGACAGTTTTTTTTTTCTCTGTACAGTGGAGACAGCTGGTAGGGAAACAGGGCCTTTTGTCAAACAAAACAGGAATGATGCAGAGGAGTCGTGACATTGCAGAAGGTGAAACACTACAAGGGGGGGATATCATACAAGCAGAACACCTGAGCTGAGTTAAAAGCAATCAATGCATAGTCATCTGAAAGGTGTGCATCTCTCAATGTCGAGCAAGTCTGAAAAAGCTCACTCACAGTTTCCCTTCAGGCGATAGAATTGTCTGCAAATCTTAAAATGAATGTGTTGGATCAAGTATTGATCACTGCTTCATATGAACACAAGAGAATAATAGCCTTTTACTATACGTCTGCACTATTTATCGTTTCTTCAGCCACAGATTCTTAAAGGTATTTTTCTTGTGTGTTTGCCAAGGGCGATATAGGTCGACTAGGAGACCGAGGAACCAAAGGAGAGCGTGTAAGTAGTGTCACTCTTGTTTTCCTAAAGAGGAGCTGTTTGTACGCCTCAAACAGCAGCGCTAAAAATGTTGATGAAAACTAATGACTGTTAATGAAAGTCTTTTCTCCGGCACAAATATTACTAATCCCCGCAAGCACGTAAACACGAAGAAAAAGGCATTTCACGCTTTGTTCAGTTTGCGGTTGTATTTGCAAGAGCTCTGTCACACTTGTGCAGTAATCAGTTGCAAATGCTGGTAATAGAGATAGAAAATGAGACTTTTAGTCTTCCAGCTTGCAAAAACCCGAAGGACAAGTGAAAGACACTAACACGTTAAATTAAAGGGGTAACTGTGAGCAGCATGGTAAGTGATAAAGTTAGTCTGGGGGTAGTGACTTCAACTACGCCAGCTAAAAAAAGCTTTGCTTTGATTTGTGCACTGTTGAACTTTCACATAATCTGCAGCAAACCGAGCTGAACGACTGCTTCTTTAATGCAGGGTGATCCGGGAATTCCTGGAGAAAGAGGCCTTCAGGGCGAGAGGGGTCGCATAGGTGATCCTGGCCCTGTTGGACGTATCGGACCACCGGGTGAAAAAGGTGACTCCGGTCCTCCAGGACAGTTAGGGAGGATACAACTCCTGGTAAGTGTTTGAATCAAACAGACTTTCCTTGCAGATAATTAAAACCCTGGCTTGCTCTCACGGCTTGTGTGACTAGCTCAGTTCTTGCTGCCGAAATGAGAAATGGTGTATCTACAGCTTTCAGCACGGAACATCAAACAAAGCTCACTCACTTCAGCGAGGGAACTCACAGATCACCTTCTGCTCAACGCTTCCCACTCCTGATCATATAGGCATAACAGAAGGTCAGGGAGGGAGAGAAACGGAAAGAGAGTGAAAGACAGAGATATGTGGGTGCGCCAAGAGCTCTGCAAAGCACAGAAAATACCTCCATCTGTCACAGACATTTTACACTTACTGCAGTTATATAACATTCTCAGTGATGAAAGCTGTTTTGAATGCAGCGATTTAAGGTTTTAAGCCTTCACTGGTGGTGCTGCCCTGGGAAGCAATGCAGCTGAGAGCTGTTTTGGTGGCTGGCAACACACTGAGACGTTGAATCTTTTGAGTGGAAGGACATGTGCTATCCAAAGTTAGGTACAGAAATATTTAGACACATACCCAGTTTTTATGGTTTTAGCTGTTTACTCAATAAATTATTGCTATGCAATTGTGTAATGACTTGTAATTGCACTCAGACTTTGAACTTCCAATTTTAAGCAATTCACAGTACATTTTATAAAGTTTTATTCCGTAAATGCCTTTTTTTCATCAATTCTTCACATTATGTCACAGTACTGGATAAATAGTCTCCATAAAGCTGTGCAATGGGTATGCTTGTGCACTCACAGTGGATTCATTGCCTTTTATTCTCCTTTTTAAAAGCAACACAATGAACTGTAGGTGTGCACACAACCTGCATTTATTGTTGGCAGCTTGACCACTTTGCCTGCATACTTTTCAAAAAGGCAGCTTGCGTTAAACATATTGGTGCGTTGGATAAATAGTTAATTTTTTCTATTGAAAATGGATGTCAGAGCATTCAGTTCTCTTCCATTACCTGTGAGTTGGATCTGCTGAGCCCACAGGGCTTTGAGTTGCAACTTTCCCAGAGTCCTTTGACATTAAAACTGAAAATATTTAAAGGATTTGTTGTAATGTTTTAGTGCAGATTTAAAAGTGCAAAATTGAGTATAAATGTACAGGAATTCAAATCAAGGAATTACACAATACCTTTAAGGTCCACCTTTAAAAATGTCATCTTCATTCCTTTTTTGATTTACCTTAAAGCTCGTAACACTTTATGGCACCTTCAACTTGTTTACTAAGAAAGCTTCACCTTTAAAACAACAGTTAAAAAAAAAAGTCTTATTTTTCTTTAAATCCATTATTTCTTTTCTCATCCCTTAAGAGCGTTTTAAAAAAATCAATTACATTTAAACCCTTGGGTTGAATGTGATTGCTTAGTTGATGGGTGTGTGCTGTTTATTCTTTATTTCTTCATCAACTAACCAGGTCGACCTGGAGTGGAGTGTGGCATTAGTCGTAGGTGGGTGTTGCTCCGAATCAACAGTGTGAAGTCAAAGGAGCCCTAAGTGCACTTTAAACTGATCATCGTCAGTCTTTAAGAGCAAAACAAATCCATCTGGAAAATCACTGGAAGGCTGGGAATTGTCACATTTAAACTCCGTGTGATTCTAAAGAAAAATGAATCCACTGGGCAACATGAAAATCTCTGAATGTCCAAACAATAGAAAGCCAAAAGTAAAACACGGAACTGCTGTTGAGTTATGAATAAAATGAAACTACCATATTTTTCGACCTATAAGTCGCTTTTATTTATTTATTTATTTATTTTGCATAATTTGCATGCCCTGCGACTTATACGCCGAAGCAACATATTTATGGATTTTTTCCCCATATTTATAAACCAATTTTTGGCTGAGATATGACCGTTTTCATTCATTCAGACTAAAAGTATTGAACACTACCATTTTCAACCGCAAGAAGGCACTCAAGTAGTATGGCAGCCATTGTATCATGTAATAGGTAAAAGTGGCTATTAATGACACAATTGGCTTGCTTTAGTCTGCCACCTACGTCCAGCTCACCTGGAGCAACCGTCAAGCGCCGTCCCGGCAAAATGCAGCTAATTTGACCATCGTAGTGCATTTATTAAGTAAAAGTTCAACTGAGACACACCTTTACTTTAATTTCGAGCAAACCAATAATTGTTTTTAGGTGGTTATCTTGCAAAAATTTGAAGAAATGCACAGCGAGTCCTCGTGCACACGCCTACTTCCGTGTATCAGCTTTTGAAATGCAGCTGATTTGACCATTAAAGTGCATTTATTAAGGGAAAGTTAAACTGAGACACACTTTTGCTATACTTTCAAGCAAACAAATAATTGTTTCTAAGTGTTAATCTTGTTAAATTCTTGTTAAAGTCCTCCCGTGCACGCTCCCACGGCCGCCATTTTTCAGCCAATCGATTTTTGGCACAACACCGACCCACATTTCCGGGTTCGGCCCACGTTTCCGGGTTGTCAACGGTGACACGTAACAAATGCGACGCGTCAGTGGTGATGCAAAAAAGATGCAACGTATATGGCAAAGTGACATATTTATGGATTTTTCCACTTTAATAGACATATTTGGACTGATGAGACTTATAGGGCGGTGCGACATGTACGGCGGAAAATACGATAAAGACAAAATACCCACAAACAGAACATCACAAAGAAAGAAACCTCTTAATGCAGCATTCAGATTAGATATTGTGGATAATTCTTTCAAAATCATAGTTTAAATGTTTGGTTATGCTTACGTTTAGATGTGTTTGAAAGTCTGAGCCCCTGAAAAATAATGTTTTACATGTTTTGCAGATTCTTTAAATTTTTCTTCTAAATCACGGGTGTCGAAAGTGCGGCTCGAGGGGTCATTTACAGCCCTTGGAGTGATTTTGTGCGGCCCACACTGCAGTTTAAGAATGGTATCATTTTGGCCAGCGGGCTTAAGAGGTTGATGCAAACTTCCTACATATTAGTTGGTAATCCTTTTTTATATAATGTTTAAGTTTAACAGCAAAACATGAAAAACAGTCTTCTCAAAATGAGCAATATTAAGCAAAATACAAACCTTTGGCTATATAAATTTTTTATTTTCACTTCATGGTACAAAGTATCAAAAACTTTCGATGATTTCTACCAGAAAGGAGACTTTTGGATAATGATTCCTAAAACTTGACTAAATATTGCAGTTGATAAAATAATCAAGAGGGACACTGGACATTTTTAAATGAATATAACATGGTTTCATCTACATACGAGTTGATCAACTTCATCAAACCTTCTAGGAATCTGTTGCAGCGACTGACAACTGGACAATTTTTCAGAACTACGATCAGCCTTTTGGGTCGACTAAGGTCCAAAAGGCTGTTCGACCTCCTTTTAAAAGGACATTTACTCATATTACGCTTTTTGTTGGATAATGTAATTATCCTATCATCAGCTTATTAAATAAATAAGCCACACAGGAAAGGATCTTTCTTGGTCAGGTTTAATCTTGCAAGATGGAACAGCCATTGATAAGTCAGGTTACAGGATGTTGCATCTCGCCCGGATCACAAGTTCTGCTTGAAGAGAAAGAGCTAAGAAAATCTTAAATACCTGTTATCAGACAGAGGTGAGGTCAAGACAACTCTGCTTCACAGCTTAGGGCCTTGAAGTTTATCAGGTGCACAGGCTCCTGCAGGCTCAACTTCGCCAAGACTAAACAACTCTAATGCACACGCATTGTTAATATAATATTTGACATTAGTAAGTGAAAAACATCCATGACCTTTACATGCCCATCACTTTTGTTGCTGAGAACAGACTAAAATAAACTTTCCAAAAACAAGAAAACAACAAACATAGATCCATCAAATCAAATAAATCAAATCCTTTTTAATAATAATAATAGTGTTTATTGGGCTTTTAATGTTTTGGATCTACAACAATTTAAAACTATTTATCCACCAAAATTCATAAACTTTTGTCCTTTCTCCAAAATATTGTTCACGATGAGAGTTAATTTCACATTTTTCTGGCCCACGAGTCCTTTCATCTTGATAGATTTAGCCCACAAATGAAAATGTTTGGACACCCCTGCTTTAAATGAAAGCACACACTTCACACTTTAAGCCCACGTTCATTACGGAACTGCAGAGAAAAAATAATGCATTTATATGTGTTTGAATCTGCAATATTTTCACACGTTCTGCCCTATTTTTGAGGCTTTCAGAGCTGCAACTTTTGCTCCTGAGCACAAAGGGCATCACTGCTGAAGTGAAATGAAAGTAATACAACTTTGAATAGTTACTGTATCAAATTTAATATTCCCCCACTGAATGAGTCGTATTTTCCTGCTGAGTTTGGTGAGCCGAGCTGAGAGAAGATCTTGACAAAAGATTTACCCGAGTATAATATCCTCCCTCTGCTCCTGAGTTTGACATGTTTGGTTTCAGCAGCGAGACGCACGAGGAGGATCCATTTAATTGTCATGCCATGATAACTATAATCTTTACTGTACGTCCTCTGCTGCCAGCTGCCTGTGAATAAAAGTTTAGTTTATGTTGTCACTTAATTGGATTTTCTTCTCTTCTTTGTGTGAAAATGCTTCAGTGAGTGCTCTTTTACTCTCCCTGCACAGGATGATCCCAGCTTTACACAAGAACTCAGAGAATTTATCCAAAACGAAGTAATGAGAATTTTTGAAGGTAGATATAGTTTGATATTTCATTTGGTTGAAATATTTTTGTTTTTGTTCCTTTTTTTTTTTTTGTCACCTCTAAAACCTCAACATGTGAAATCTTCCATTTTCTCGCCTTGCAGAGAAAGTATCCAGCCATGGCATGCAGCAAAAGACACCTGCTGGCATCTTAGCATCACAGATCCAAGGGCCTCCGGGAACCCCTGGCAAGGATGGATCGCCAGGTCCTCCAGGAGAGCCAGGGCCACCTGGTCCTCAAGGTAGGAGCTCAGGACTGATGGCTGAACTGAAAACATGCTAACTTCAAGACAAAACAAAATTCAAACACACCTAAAATGTCACGCTTGTTTAAATCAATTACTTGTTTGTGAACTACATTGGCCATTTATGGTTATATTTATCCATTTATAAATTATTTGCTCGTCTTATACAGCTCAATTAGTTATAAGTTAAGATGTGTAAAATTTTAAATAAAAAACAAAATGCAACAAGTTTCAAATCCTACCCTTTTTAATTAGTATGTAACACAGTAAACATATAAAATGTTTAAACTACATTTTTTTTTACAGTTTGTAAGTTAATTCAGAAGTTAATTGGCACTAACACATCTGAAAATGTTGGAACGGGACAAAAAAAAAAGGCTGTAAGAGCAAGTGGTACAAATACGAAACAGCTGGAGGAGCATTTTACAACTAATTAGGTTAATTAGCATCAGGTCAGTAAAAGGACTGGGTATAAAAAGAGCACTTTAAAGAGGCTGAATCTCTTAGAAGTAAAGATGGGGAGAGGTTCACCAGTGTGCAAAAACTTTCTCTTAATATGGTGACAAATTTAAGAATAATGTTCCTCAATGGAAAATTGGGAATACTTTGAATCTCCCATCATCTACAGTTCATAATATTATCAATAAAATTTAAAAATCTGGAGAACTTTCTGGGCATAAACATCAACATGAGTCTTTATTGGATGCCCTAACCTTCTGGCCCTCAGGCAGCACTGCACTAAAATCAAGTCTAATTCTGTGAACATCACTGCATGAGCTCAGAACCACTACCACAAATTGTAGACACAGTTCACCATGCCATCCACAAATGCTGGTTAGAACTGTATTATGTATGGAAGAAGCCATGTGAGCACCATCCAGAAACACAGCCAGGGTCATGAAAAATGTTTTGAAGCAAAAATGGAAACTATTCCATGGTCTAACGGATTAACATTTATTTTTTTAATTTTTTGGAAACCACAGAAGCCTGGTCCTCCATACTTAAGAGAAGAGGTACCATCTTGCTTGTTACCAGCACACAGTTCAAAAGTTTATCTCTGATGATATACTCAAGGCCCAGGGGCCAAATGTGGACCTTGTTGACATCTCATCTGGCCCCCAAGATTATATTTTAAATGTAAAATACTTTTATCACTTTAATTTTGTCAGTAATATTTGATTATGATGTCAAAAGTGCAAGAGAGAATGTTAAATGAGACCAATCAAACTCTTGTTGAGGTACCTGCAACCAAGAAAAGATGTTGGGTATCTAACTTGAGTTAATGTAGGTTCTGAAACTGGCCCTTGGTTTGAAAAAATAATAATAATTTGGGCCCCATTTTGTAAGTGAGTTTGACACCCCTGGTATAGGGGTACATTAATGCGTATGTCATGTTATGGACAGCTTATACATTTGGCAAGGAGCTGTCCATGCAGAACAGTGTATACAGGTTACATATGTTCCCATCCAGAAAGTAATTCAGCAAAGAAGAGTCAAGACTGTTCAACAGCTAAAATCCTAAATCAGAAAAGAATGGGACATTTTCTTCTCAAAACTTTAGCAGCTGGTCTCCCCAGGTCCTAAAGAGGGGATTCTTCACAGTGATAATGACTCTGTCCCAAATATTTTAAGATGTGTTGATGTCATCAAATTCAAAATTACCATTTTTCTGGAAGTTCTTTGCAACTAAATGAGTTTGAGATTTGCAAATCATTGATTGCTGGTTTTATTTACAATTTACACAACAACCCAACTTTTTCAGAGTTAGGGATCATTTATAATGCATTAAAACGTCAAATGTGGAGTAAAGGTTAAACGTCAAAAGGCTTTAGGTTTATATCCCATGAAAATGAACATACAATGTAAAATACAGGAGATTATCCTAACTGGGGTTGGGCTTACCGGTGCATTTTGTATGGATTCATAGGTATTTTTCTCTTGCATAGACCCATATATCAAAGCAGACTGAGGGGTGGAAAGCAGAGGAAAAGGACAGGAGTTTGGTGCACAGCAGCTCTCTGGGAAATATGAAGACAAACGAAGAATTGGCTGTGAATAAGAGAAAGTGTTATCAGTGTGGACAGGAAAAGAGCTACGTTATTGATACCTCACTCCGGGAGAGAAAGCTTCTTAAGTGTGAAAGGAGCATAGTCAGGAAGGAGGGAGGACAGTCTTTATCAAACTGATACTGCTCTCTGACTGCTCACACAACACTAATGGTTTGCTGGTCAGGCTTTGAACCTCAAACTTGCTTAGATTTCTCATGTGTCTCCAACAGAATAATGTGATTGTAAAGGGCTCGTTTAGTCATGTTTGAAGTAATGTTTTGTAAAATAGTTATCAGTACTTTATCAGCTGTGACTTCAGTCCTGGAGCACGTAGTATGGAAGAAATGACAAAAGAATTTGTCCAGGCTAATCTAGTGGCTATCACAACAATTGCCAATTTTTATACGTCTGTAAAAAGGCGGACATATTATGTTGCAATCTCCATCTGTTCTCCTATACCTATGTACGTAACCTTTATCTTGCCTTGCACATAACAATATGAAACTTCAAATACAAATGCATCATCACTAGACAGAGTGTCGTGTGCACTTTCCATCACCCCAGCCCCAAGATCAAAGTTAAAACAAGGTCTTTGCTTGTCCAGGCCATTATTTCTGATACACCCATGATAACTTACCAAAACTTGAAACACATTTGTACCACCAGTATACAGCGTATTGCATAATATTTTCATCACCCAAGCTCTAAGGTCCATTCATCCATCCATTATCTCCGGCTTGATCCAAGGTCGGGCCGCGGGGTCAGCAGTTTGAACAGGGTGGCCCAGATATCTCTTTCCACTGTCACCTCTTCCAACTATTCTGGGAGAAACCCAGTGCATTCCCAGGCCAACCGAGAGATGTAGTCTCTCCAACATGTCCTGGGTCTTCCCCAGGGTCTCCTCCCAGTTGGACAAGCTCGAAGCACCTCCCTAGGGAGGCGCCCTGGGGGCATCCTTACCAATGCCCCAACCACCTCAACTGACTCCTCTTAATGTGAATGAGTAGTGGTTCTATTTCAAGTCTCTCCAGGTTGACTGAACTTCTCACTCTATCTCTAAGGAAGAGTCCAGCTACCCTGCGGAGGAAACTCATTTCAACCGCCTTTATCCATGATCTCATTCTTTACGTCATTACCCAGAGTTTGTGACCATAGGTGACTGTAGGAATGTAGACCGACTGGTAAACAGAGAGCTTTGCCTTACAGCGCAGCTCCCTCTTCACCACATGGACTGGCACAGTGTCTGCAATATTGTAGAAGCTGCACCAATCCGTCTGTCAATCTCACGCTCCATTCTTCCCTCACTCGTGAACTTGAACTCCTCCACTTGAGGCAGAACCTCACCCTCAACCCAAAGAGAGCAATCCACCTCTTTCCGACTGAGGACCATGGCCTCAGATTTGGAGGTGCTGATTCTTAAAGGTCAATGTTACAAATCAAGGTCAAAGGTTACAGAAGGTATTTGCCTGTCTTGGCCATAGCTATAGATTGCTGTATTTCTGTATATTAGTTTGTCTACAAGCGTTTACTGTGCCATATACGGTTGTTTTTTAACTCTGTCTCAAAAGCAGTGTGAAGGAACATCACATTGCAAATATTAAACATCTAGTAGTGTTTTGACACTGCTGAAAATGTGTTAACTATTAATAATAACTATTTAACAAAACTTCCCATCAAAAATGACTAAACTATCCCTTTGGAAGTGTTTGTTCATGTGTTGGTTCTGTTTAAAGTGTCACTGCATTGACCTTTTTCATTGAGCTTTGTATCTACCTCACATCATTCAAGACCATTTACCTTTTAACTCACCGCTTTAATTTTTACGTGCTGCTTTCACTCATGTGTAACGTAGCTAAAGTACTCAAACTAAATATGTGTGCTGTGTTAATGCCACTGGCATTACACGTGTCGTGGATTTTGCGTTACTTTGTTGTTGTTTTTTAATGCATCAAACAAGTGTTTTATAGGTCATTTATAATGCAGCTTTGCAATAAATATTTATTGAAAATAAAAAGAAAAGTTATTTCCCTTGATGAATCAAGAATTCAAGAAGTTCTTAATTTCTTTCTTTGTTGACTTGTGGCTCCACTCAGCTGGTGAGGGAGTTTGGGGTAATATTTCCTCATTATTTCTCGTCATCCTCCGCTGGAGATCGTGCTCCTTTGGAATATCCAATTTGACTCTTTCTTTATTGTGGCAAAATGAATTGTTTATGGAGAAAAATAACCCTTCTGTTGAATTCACTGTTGTTGTTGTTTTTTTTTCCTCCTTGCTTCGTGGTTTGATTGCACAAGTGAGGAAGTCTCCAGCTGTTACAAGGACACATGCTGACGAGCAGCACTTTTTTAACCTTTCATTGTAATTTAAGGCTTTTCTCTCTCTCTTTATTTATCTTTTGCTATTAGTTCAAACTGAAAAATCTTTTTAATTATTGTTTTTGAATGCATATTTAATTTAGTTTACATTTATTTTTGTTTAAGCAGTTTTCTTTTTATATGTCAGTGACTTTTGTACTACTACTGACTGAAACATGTTGATTTTTCTTTATTTACAGTGTAAATTCTGTTTTGCAGCTGCTGTTTCTTTTTTTTCTTGTACAATATGGAAGCCTCAGTAAACATCCAAGTGTTTTTAATGGAGCACCTGTTATAATTTTTTTGTTTGTTTTTTATGATGTTTTATTTTTACTTGTGTAAAGCATATAGTCTTATGAATTCATGCACCTGCTTCAAATGTTATCAGCCATTAAATAGCCATTGTTAGTTGTCATTATCCCCATAGGTTGCCTTCAGACTGTCCCTCCTGTACCTCCTAGCAGGCTCAGTAGGTTGTTATCACAGAATTATAATGCTCGGGGTTAGGGTTAGGGTTGGGGTTATTTCTGAACATAATTATAGTGCTTTATATATTGCTGTACTGTATATAAATTGATCAAAATGTCGCTCATCTCAAACAAACAAAAAACTCTCATATCCTTTCTTAAGAGTTCTTTTTAGATACCGAATTAAAACCTTATGACTGTTAAATCTGGAATTCATTTGAAATAAATCCTTGATATCCAGCTTAAAAGTAGTAGGTAAATTGTAAATAAAGGTTTTAAATAAAGCTAACAACAGAAAGCTTCTGCTTTTAGACGCAGGCAAAGCTGCATATCATCAGTGATAAGAAAGTACCTTTAAACCTACTAGGAGGTACAGGAGGGACCGTCTGAATGCAACTGTAGTGAACTAAGCCTCAGGTCAAAACCTGACCCTGAGGACCTTCATGGGACAGGAACTGTTATTTCATTGATTTGAGTCCAGAAATACAAATTAAGCTCATCCAGAGACTTTCTAAGTGTGTCCATCTCTCGGCTCTCTCACTACACAACCTATGGGGATGATAATAACTAATAACAGCCATTTAATGGACTGATAACATTTGAAGCAGCTGATTCAATTCAATATACTTGAATTCAATATACTTTATTGATCCCCAAGGGGAAATGTCATCAATTTCATGCTTGTTGCTGTCAGTAATGTTTACAGTGACATACAGAAAGGCTGTAATCCCATCAGTCAACACTGAAATGACACTATCTGTAGCAATATTAGTTTTGTGTTAACTTTGTCCATTAGTGGCCCGCAAAACAATTTGCTTTCAAACAAGTGCACCGTGTGACATTTTGGATTTTATCGGGGCGCAACACTTCGGCGTGCCACCCAAGCTTATTGCTTTGTGTGCTGTTCAGTGTTTCCTTTTTGCTTAAGGTACAGTGCACTTTTCTCCTTGGACCGTCTCCTCCCTGAATGAATGCCCCAGGCTCTGTGAGTGTTGAAAGAAGTCTCATTATTGTGGCAATGTGTGGATAGCCCCTCTTTCTTGAGATTCACTTTTTGGAGCATTCATGAGCCTTTCTTCTGAGATTTTTCCCTGACATGTAAGCGCTGAAGCGTTTCCCCTTTGGGCCAGGCGGAGAGATGCTTGATACTCCTGTCAATGTTTCTGATGCACTTCTCGCAGCTGCTGGTTGTGAGACTCCATTACTTGAAGTGCCTCATGGGGAAATATTGTTGTGGCCCCTCGCATTCGTACTTGCTTTGCTGCTGTTTGGAGCTGTAAAGACTTAGCAGCTTTGCATGTATTGGAAAAGCTTTGAAAGGATGACAGTGTGCTTCTCATTGTATTCAACACTGCCTGGTCTGAAGTGAAGATTAATGTACATGCTTTGACTTTTTTTTTGCACTTATCAGTCTTTTCTTAAAAGGATAGTTCAAGTATGAACAGTATATTTTTGACTGGATTGACGAGCTAACAGCTAGTCGGAGCAAGATTTAGACCAAAGTGGATTGTTGCCATTTTAAAACTATGCTTGATGCTAGTTATGCTCTTTTACAAACTCTGACTTCGCTGTCAAATTTTAATTGCACAAAAAATTTAAATAATACATCTTCTGGAAGTGCTCCAAGACAGCATCAGAATGTTACAGCTAGCTGCTGCTGCCTTTGTTTGCAGTCACAAATTAAAAGCCTAGCATTCCTAAAAGAAATTCATACCCACTGCTGCCTGCCACACTAAGAATTTTAATCTAATGTTCATTCATTCAACCTTTATTTATACAGGTTAATCCTACTGAGCCTCCGGGACTCATTTACAAGAGATACCTGAAAATATAAATAATATAATAAATAAATATCATAAAATAATATCATCGTAGGCTGAGAAATGGCAGAGTTGTAGCTGATTTGCAATCTCATGAAGTATGGCAGTATCTTGCATAATTTAATAGCAGTTAGAGCAATAGTTAGAATTTAGCTCAATATCTGTAAATGTAACTGAGGTGCTTTATGTTCCCATAGGTCAGTTGCCAGCGGGGAACATCTCAAATAAAAAAAATAAAATTTACTGTGGATGGGAAATCAGTAAATAAAGTTTAATTTTACATTTATTTTATTTAACCAGATAAAACTGTAATTGATAGAAATATATATTTTTACGACCTGGCCATGAGGTCAGTAGCACACATCACTAAAATCCATCCAGTGGTTTTTGAGATATTTTGCTAACATACACAGGCCACTTTAAAAGCTAATGGCAAAGTTGATAAAAGCATCTTGAATTCAATTAGTGCACAGAGTATGGGGTTTGGATGATGCTCAACTATCATCGCAACTAATTTTGCCCCAATATTTGGAGAATTGACCGAGCTATAGACAGCTGTGGCTTTTGATAAGATTGTTGAGCTTTGTGGCCATCTTTAATAGTTTTAACTCCAAAAGTGAATCAGTTCTAGGTGTACATTTGATGGTTAAACTCTGAGTGTTTCAATAAAAACCCGTCCATAAGATATTTTCCTAACACGGCAAATGGCAGCAAACAATTAATAACCATGAAATTCTATGTAAATAACCATATAATGCTCAAAACTCAGTGCAGCGTAAAGCTTTAAAAAACAGTGCTTATTTGACTTGCTTTGAATCATTTGACATTTAGAATTGTTTTAAGATGACAGCAGTCCTCTTTGGTCTTGTCCCCACTCAGACTAGCCATTCGCTCATCAGCTGAGTCATGAAAACCACAAACGCCTTCTTCAAAAGATCTGAACTATCACTTTAACAAATAAAGCATGTTAGTTTCTATCCTTAGCTATAAACCTAATTCCACCCTCTGTGCGCCTGCAGTGACTCAGATATCTGACCTCGGGTTAAAAAAAAAAAAACTACCTCACTCTGTTTTGAAGTTTTCAAAGACTTGTTCATGTTGTTGTCCATGAAGTGCCTTCTTCTTCAAAAAAGGAAAAAAATTACATATATATGAATAAACTAATGGACCGATAGCTTGTTTGAGGATTTCTGTTTTGACAGGATGTCAGCACATCTTTTATTATTTAAAGAGTTGGGCCTGAAACCTGGGATTCAGAGAAGCTAGTGCCAACAACACCCACTAAAGCTGCTGCGCTTCAACCAAATAGGTGCAATACTGATGTCTGACATTGTTGTCCTAATAGTAATACTTCAACAAATGCTTTGTAGGAGTCACTGAGCAGATGTAAAGGTTGCACACACGTGCGCCATCTTGACACTGAATTTGAAGCTGCTGTGGCGTTTGCTCTAATCTTACTAACAGTCTGAACAAGTGGCGGCACACAGATATACTTCATTTTTGTTTAGAGGATTGTGTGTCTGTGTGTCTTTGTAGGATACAGAGGTCAGAAAGGAGAACGAGGACAGGTTGGGCTGGGGTTTCCAGGAGATCCAGGACCCACGGGGCCACCGGGTAAGTGAGATACACAGGAACCTTGCTAATTTTAAAAAAAGCTAATTGAATGTTTAAAAAAAAGTTATGTGTGTTTTAACCTTTTGGTCCATTGGAGGTTTGAGAAGCTGCAACGTGAAGCAGAAGGAAATGACCATCTTGTTTTTAAAAAGTCCAAACGGGCAAACTCAAGCTCTGAATGAAAATCATGTTTCATGGTTTTGTGCTTTAACACTTGAGTCCCTTTCTTTGATTTTTGTAAAACAAATAAATTAAATTAAACAAGCTCAACTGAGCAGGTTTTGTGTAATCTATCCAAAAACCTCTGTAGTTTAAACAGCTCACAATATTCCAGAATTGATCAACTTTGGGATCAGTAAAGTCAGTCCATCCATTCATCCATTCATCCATTCATTCATTCATTCATTCATTCATTCATCCATTCATTCATCCATTCATCCATCCATGCATTGATTCATCCATCCATCCAATTGCATTTGATTTTGAAAAGGTATTTACATAAAGTCTGATACATGTAATCAAAACAATACATAGAGAAATTGCATTTCCTGTGAAAATGCAGTGTGAATGCTTATTGCTGAAGAACTTGGTGAAAAACAGCTTAAATTAGCTGAACATGCTGAAATGAATTTGAAATGAAAGAACAAACCTAAATTAGCAAAAGAAAACCGAAAGGACACGTTTGCTATATTAGGTTTAAATAAGCAGAAATAAGCACAAAAAATAGGCAATTAGCTAAATAAAGGCTGAAATTCACAAAAAAAAAAAACAGGTGAATGGTAGCTGAAAATGCAGAAAGAATCTTAGACTACCAGAAGGAAGTGGAAAGAGCTGAAATGAGCAAAAAATGTGGAATTAGATGAATAAGCTAAAATTTGCATCAAAGAACTAAATAGTAGCTGAAAGAGAAAAATAAGCTGAAATTAGCAGAAAAATGCTGAAAGGAGTATAATAAGCTGAAATTAGCATAACGAAGTGAATTAGGCTGAAAGCTGCAAAAATTTCCACAAAAATTTGAATTTATCTGAAAACAGCTAAAATTAGCTTAAAAGGTACCTGAAAATGTAGAACAAGCTTAAATTAGCTGAAGAAAGCCGAAAGAATGCTTGCTTGATTAGGCTGAAAGAAGCAGAAATGAGCACAAAAAGTGGAAACTATCTGAAAAAAAAGCTGAAATTACCAATAAATAAATCAGCTGAAAAGTAGTTTAAAATGGCAGAAAGAAGCTGAAATAACAAGAAGGAAGTGGAGAAAACACGTTTGCTGAATTAGGCTGAAAAATGTTGAAATGAGTGCAAAAAATATGGAATTAGCTGAAAATGCTAAAATTAGCATAAAACAGCTAAAAAGTAGCTGAAATAACTTAAACTAGCAGAAATAATCTAAAAGGAGCATAATAAGCTGAAATTAGCAGAAAGAAGTTAGAAGACGCACAGCAATGTTGTAGTTTGTAGAAAGAACCTGAAAGGATCGCAAAACAGCTGAAAAAAACATAGAACTTAGCTGAAAGTGGCGGAAAAACATTAAACATTTGTAAAAGGAAGCTGAAAGAAGCTGAATCAGAACAAAATGTGGAAGGAGCAGTAAAAGGTTGTAAACACATCTAAAGATTTGAAGGATGTAAAATGAGCTCAATTCATTTTCTATGAGGAAACAAGTGGCAGAAAAGCTAAATATTTCAAAAGGCTAATGTGCCAATACCAAAAGTCATAGCTGGATTGTCCTGGAAGAGCTGAACATTTTTTTTTTTTATTTGATTTGTTGAAATAGCTTGAAAACTGCGAGACGAGAATTTCGCTGAAAACTGTACGGAAGAAAAATAAATCACAATAGTGAGAATGCTTCATAAGAATCCCCACAAATATTACCGTTCAGTTTGAAGTTTTTTTGCTCAATACTTTGTGCTTGTGTTCAGTTTTCTATACCTTCAGCAAAACATCTAATGAATCACTTAAAGGATTTTACTGAAACTTTCAGAAAGCAAAAATTAGGTTGACATCTGTAAGTGATAAACATTTGGACTCAACCTAATTCAAGATGGCTGCCACAGCCAGCTGACTTGAAAAACTTGAATAACTCAGCCAATTTTGCTCGGCTAAAATTCGATAGCTGAGAATCATCCTCAACACATACTCCAAACGGTACCAGATCATGCAAGATGTCACAATTTCACGCAAGTTTGTGCATAAAGTTGTTTTCAAGGTTTAGCCGAAATGGCTTCAACTCCGTCAACATAAGATAATCTTAGTTTTAAACTCTAGCATTAATACACAGAAAGTTTTGGCACTATTTGAAATTCAAGGCCGTATGTTTCAGCAGTCGATTAAGCACATCGGTTTCTGACAAGTATGTCAAAGAAAAGTAAACAGTTTTGGTTGATAAGTAAGAGCACTTTTCAGAGCGGCCACTTCTGTGTCAGAATGACCAGACATTAGTTTACAGCCAGTCCTCCTCCACATTCAGCTCCTTTATGCAGGTTTCCTGCTAAAAGGAAGGAAATGTACTGAGCTTGTAAGCTCGCAGGTTGCATTATGTTTCAAAAAAACTTGCGATACTTTATTTAAAAAAAAAAAAGGCATCCCAGTAGAAGAAAATAAATTACTGAAATGAAAAATTGTGTCATCTGAAAACTAAAGTCCTACTTTCCGTCCTGGGGAAAAATAAATAAATAAATCAAGCCACGACATTAGCATGACCCCCTGCTGATGTGAGAACAGGGAACACTTTTCCAAATTTGAGTCCGCCGCAGCAGGAGCTCCTCCCCAAACCTAAAGTCTCTCGTATATGTGTGCATAATGTATGTGTAGGAGGAGAAACATAAGCTGCTTGTAACTCCTCTGGAGAAGATAAATCACAGCTGTTAAAAGAAATCATCTCTGGAGGTGCACAGTTATGGAAAGCACCTGCAGCATAACTGCGGGGGGTTAGACTTAAGCCGGAGCCACATCGTGGAAAGAGTCAAAAAGTTCTTGAACCAGCCGATAAGAATGCAGGGCCATTGCTCTTCTTTTCCCTACGCTCTTAGCTTTACAAGCCTCTGCAGCCTACAGCGGAAGATTATTTTTACCGACTGAAATTTCTTCCATCATAATGAAAGATAGCCTGTATCCTTGGCATCAACGCAGAGCCGGCTCCCCTTGGACTCATGAAGACTGGGATGTATGAGTCACACGCTGAAGATTCTTACAACTGAGCTTCATCGATTCAGATGTTAGGGAGTAAAAGTTCGTGTTGTAAGACGTAGTGTTAGTCCTCTGATAAGGAGCATCCAACATTGTAATTAAAAAACAGTCTGTGTCGGGAAAAAAATAAAGATTTTCAACCAAAGTTTCCATTTGACGTTTTTGTTCTCACTTATTTTGAAAAATTATGTAATTCAATTCAACTCAGTTCAGTTTATTTATATAGCACCAAGTCATAATTGAAGTCATCTCAGGGAACTGAACAGACACATGCATATACATAAAAAGTAAGTTAACACTATTTATCTGAGGAGCAGACTGCTTTGAATTAACTCCATCACAGAACTCTCATCTTGAGCAAACATTAAGGCGACAGTGGAAAGAAAAAACTCCCTCATGAGGAAGAAACCTTTAGCAGAACCAGGCTCAGGACAAGCGGCCATCTGCTTCGACCAGCTGGGTTTAGTAGGAACAGATACACAATGGCAGGTCAAGAATCACGTTAAGATAAAAATAATATCAAATGAGAACTATTCAATTTTAACAATTCATTTAAAGAAATTAGGTCAATGTGTCCTCTAGTAGTCTAAGCTTAAAACAGCATAAGAAGCCAACCCTAACTATAGGATTTATCAAAAAGGAAAGTCTTAAGCCCAGTCTTAAAACTGGTCAATGTGTCAGCCTCACGGACAGAAACTGGAAGTTGGTTCCACAAGAAGAGCCTGATATTTAAGATCTTCCTCCTAATCTACTTTTGGAAACTCTAGGAATAACGAGTAAGCCTGCATTCTGAGAGCAAAGTACTCTGTTAGGAAAATATGGAACAATAAGATCTCTAATATAAGATGGAGCTAGGCTGTTGAGAGCTTTGTAGGTTAGAAGTAAGATTTTGAATTCAGTTCTGGATTTGACAGGGAGCCAGTGGAGAGAAGCTAAAACTGGAGAGATATGATCTCTCCCACTAACTCCAGTTAAGACTCTGGCAGCAGCATTTTGGATCAAATGAAGACTTTTTAAAGTTGTATCAGATCTTTATTCAGAATGAAACTAAAGACCTGTCATTTTATGAGATATATGAAATATTTTGCTATCAAGCAGTCATACAAACTTTCACACACACACACGCAAGTTGTCATTCTATCTTTAAAGACTTTGCACTGAATTCCATTCATTTTTTTTTCTTTCCTTTCTATAGCCTATCCCTGACTCTTGCCCTAAACCTAACCATTACCAGTACAGACCAACCCTAAACCTAACCATTACAGCACAGACCAACCCTAAACCTAACCCATCCTCAATTCACACCTTAGTCCTAAACCTAACCCTAACCCACCAACAGCAGTTCTTCTCATGGGGCCCAAGCTTTGGGCCCCATGAGAAGGAGTTGTTCCTCACAATGTTGTATAAATTAGAAAAATGGACCTTACAAAGTAACATAAATAAAGGCACAAACACACACACACATAATGGAAATTATATGAGCTGCAATAAAAATGTGTGACTTGTTGCTAATTAGTGGAAATAAAAGACTGGACAAAAATTTGAGGGACCACATGTTTCACAGAATATTAAAATGACAATCAAATATCTTACCATAGCAATACATGTAGTGATGGGAGGGGAACGTTGGGTTATAAAACAGATGTGAAGGGCCCAGCTGTTCCCTGTAATCAAAGGGAAGAGGCTGTTGTTGAGCTGTCACTGGTCTGACTGCTTTAACGGTCAATCCTGAGGCAGGACTGCAGCAGAGACCGGGTTCAGGCAGGCTTATCAGATCCAGTTAAAAGCCTGTCTTATTTCTCAGCCATAACAGAACACTGGCTGGTACAATATCTCAAGAAGTGAATATGAACAGTAAGTGACCACAAAGCAAAGTGGACTCCTTTACCACTTAAACAAGTTGCTGGTGCATAAGATGCTGTATTAATGTCTCCTGTAGAGATGACCTCATCATGGTAAAGAGTGAAGAATCCCATCTTCTCTTTTAAATTCTCATTAGTGCGACTGAGTTCATTCTTTTGAGTTAGATATTGTTCATTATGATGACTTGTCTAAAGCAGATGTGGAAAACAGATGTGAAGTTGCTCACAGAATACTATGATCCACGCTCTTGCATTTCTATTGATGTTCTCTGTGAAACTTTCTTTACTTTAATAAAACAAAGACTAAACAAAACCAATTACAGTAGTCCCTCGATTATCACGGGGGATCCATACCCTGAAGCCCCATGATAAGTGAAAAGACTGCAACGTAGAATTAGTAGTACAAGTAGTAAGTAGTAGTTTATTTTAGTAAATATATGATGCATTTTAAACACTTCCCACACTCTTGCAATATTCTAAACAATGTTTCTAAACTCTAAACACTCTAAAAGAGCACAAAATGTCATGATTTTAGCTCTGCCGTTGGCTGCACTCTGCCACATGCAAGCAGTCTAGGCCACGCCCACTTCTCCATTCTGCACAGAGATCAGCTGATCAGCTGCAGGAGGAAGCTTTTTCTGTAGCTATGGGCTGCACAAAGATGCAGCAGGTGTTAAAACATTTATAATAATTTATTTTAAATTTAAAAAATCCATGCCGATCGTGCAGCTCATCCATCAATCAGCCAATTGTGTATCATGTCCAATCTTACTTTGAAAAACCGCGATAGAGCGAGTCCGCAAAAAACAAACCACGAAGTAGCGAGGGATACTAATAGTTGGATTTATAGAACAAATTAAATCATTTTTGTAAACAAAAACGAGAGCTGCAGACATTTATTTTATTCACTGCATCCATATGAGGTTCCAATGGCTTAATCAAAATATTTTATATATGGAACATAATCTTAGTTGT